TGATTGGGGGGGATCACCTTTTTTCAGCTAAAGGACTCTTTGACATGACAGACAACAGGGATATACATGTAGTTATTTATTTTATATAATTATTATTATAAAAAGAAAAGCTCTCTTCACTGAGGATTCATCCATATATAATTTAATATATTCAGTCTGTCCGTCCTTAAGGAACAGCCCAACTATTTTAGGGTCAGTTCCAATTTACTGTAGTTCCTGCGAAAGGTACAGACCTTTCCATGGAACTATTATTTCTGTCAGCAGCACAGGACAGCACAGTCAGCAACAGGAAGTCAGCGAGCCTGCAAACAGGAAGTCTAGTGAGGCAAGCGGCAGAGAAAGATCACAACAAGGGAGAGGGGATGTGTTTGGCATAGTCAGCAAAATATGTTTACAAGCTTTACATGACGGCAATGAGAACATTATCAGATTTAAAGATGTTGTGAGTTTGATTAGCTGAGTGCTGTTACAAGTGTGCTGATGATAACAACACTGGGACTTTTCACTGTTTTTATCATCTCCGTTGACTGTTTGCTCGTTCCAGACAGACTGACACAGTCTGTGCATTATTATTGTGGTTGTTTTAGTAACTCTTTCCGCAGGTTAGCAACTGATACACCACCACATTTAGGTAGTGACTGTCCTTGTGGGCGAGTCATTTGATTCATTCATTCAACTGATTCATTAAAAAACGCTGATTTATTCAGAAATGAAACTTGACGAAACAAAAACAGTGTAGTAACTGATTACATGTAATCTGATTCCAAAAATCAAGTACTTGTAATTAGATTATATTATTTTACAATGCTTATAATTAGATTAAAGTTACTTTTTGATGGATTTATTGCATATTATTCATACTTGAATACTTTATTGCATATTATTCATACATTGGGTTTTTTTTTTAAATATGCTTTCTAAATGATCCTATCACATATATACAGTTTGGGAAACCCTGCTGTAATGGAATGCTTCATGCATTCCATGATGTTGGTAACAAAGAATGGAATATATTTTCATTCTCTTTGTGCTATTTGTTGTTTTTCATTAATATGGTACACAATAATCCCATTCACATCTATGTGATGAGCGAGTTAACTTAAAAGTACTCTAAAAGTAATCAAAAAAGTAGTCAGACTACATTATCTAATATATATAAACCAGATTATGTTATTAACTGCGTCCTGCAATTCGTAATTAGTAGGGGACTACAATTTGTAAGTAAAAGTGATGATAAAGACATTTATAATGTTACAAAAGATTTCTATTTCAGATAAATGCTGTTCTTCTGAACTTCCTATTCATCAAAGAAACCTGAAAAAAATTCTACTCAGCTGTTTTCAACATAATAATAATACATGTTTTTTGAGCAGCAAAGCAGAATATTAGAATGATTTCTGAAGGATCATGTGGCTGGAGTAATCATGCTGAAAATCACAGGAATAATGGACATTTTAAAATATACTCTGAAAACAGTTATTTTAAATAGTAAAATATTTAAAAATGTTACTGTTTTTGCTGTACTTTGGATCAAATAAATGCAGGCCTGGTGAGCAGAAGAGACTTCTTTAAAAAGAGCAGAGCATGTCTAGTTATAAAGTGGATGAATAACGTGATATAGAGGTATGGGTCAAGCTACAGCATAGCTAGCAGTACTAGATCCACTCACAAACAGTCTTTGAGATGCTTTTCCTTACTTTTTACACATTTGCTTGTTCAATCTTTGCATATCAAATGCAATTTCACACTTGCGAGAGTGATTAGCTGTGATTAGCCTCGTGCCTACGGCCTAATACGGTCATAACAGACTTTTTCTCTTGTGATATTGCGTTATTATTTTCTTTGGCTGCTTGCTGCAGATGCTGTCTCTAGAGCTGGAACTGTGTTGAACACAGAACATCGCTTTAAGGCATCTATTAAGGGCTCTCAGAGACCGTTTTGTCGCACATAGCCTGGATGTCCAGCCATTACAGGACTCGTGTGGCCCGAGGGCTGATGGGGTCCTGAAGTGAGAACAGAAATGACAATCGTTCCTCTAATCCCAGGGGTCACATGACCAGATTGTGAGGCGAACCAGTCCAGCAGGGAGGGATTTCCTCAAAGCGTTCTCGAAAGAAAATCCCTGGTTTTGCAGACGACCTAATAATTTATTTATTATTTAGCAAGCGTTCCTGTACAACAGATGATAATTTGTCACAAAGATATAACCGAATCCATTTGTCCAAGCCTGCAGGGTTGCGAGCTGCCCTGAGGCTCAAAGCGTCTAATGTGAGGACTGTTAGAACAAAGTAAGTCGTCTGCTAAATTAAAGATGGCGGGATGACGGTGAAGCCGCGGTCATTGGAGATAGAAACACCATGTACTAAGAATATCCTACAGCCCGTGATACCATTTTTGTGCAGAGAATGACCTCTTTATCCCATCCACCCTGAAGAAAATATGTGGCCGTAAGCCTTCCATGCATGACGCTATGAGGGCTGGGGTAAATTGGATGAATTTCAAAGATGGGAAATTTCCATGAAATCCCAGTCTCTTTGAGGGCCTGGAATAAGTGTTCGGGTAAAAGTCAGGATCCTGAATTCATAGTGGCTCATGACTGCTCTACACTCTATTGCCTCTCTTCAGTGCCATAATAATGCTCATTGCAACTGTTCATTTATTATTCATCTACTTACAGTAGAAGTAGTTGCATGGAATTTCCTCCTCATATTTTCATTCCTGTAAAGCATACACGTGCCTTTTTGTTTTGTTTTTTTGTTTTTTTTTAATTCCTTCAAAAGTTATTTAGATTATAATTACTATAATACAATAAAACAATTGTTGTAATAAAGTAATACATAATAATTAAGTAAATGCAAAGAATATACACTACCGTTCAAAAGTTTGGGATCAGAAAATCAAAGTAGTTTCTTATGCTCATCAAGGCTGCATTTATTTGATCAAAAATACAGGAAAAAAATGTAATATTGTGAAATATTATTATGATGCAAAATAACGTTTTTCTATTTTAATATACATTAAAATCTATTTATTTCTGTGATCAAAGCTTTAGAAAAGATTTATATTTTGAATAAATGCTGTTCTTTTTAACTTTTTATTCATCAAAGAATCCTGAAAAAAGTATTGCAGTTTCCAAAAAAATATTTGGCAGCACAATTGTTGATAATTCTAATAATAAATCAGCATATTACAATGATTTCTGACGATCATGTGACACTTTATACTGGAGTAATGATGATGGAAATTCAGCTTTGCATCACAGAAATAAATTATATTTTAAAGGATATTAAAATAGAAACCATTATTTTATATTGTAATAACATTTTGCAAGATTACAGTTTTTTCCTGTATTTTTTATCAAATAAATGCAGCCTTGATGAGCAGAAGAGACTTCTTTAAAAAGCATTACAAGTCTTACTGATCCCAAACTTTTGAACGGTAGTGTATATATAAAGAAAGAAATCATAAAGATTTAAAAAATAGGTTTAAAGGCCACATGAAATCAAAATAAGTATTTTTAATTAAATATTCCAGTGTTCATTATAAATGATTCATCCATGTACATCATTATTATTTTGTATTCTTGTAATTTTTCATCAGCATCATCCAGCAACCTGTCACTCATGAGATCTTCACAATTAGTAATTAGCAAACAACAATGATCCAATAAACTCAGACAAAATCAAGTCCTGTCTTCTTTTTTGTTTCATTCGAGAAGCCGTTTCCGTTGTACATGTGCTATAATAGGCAAGAAAGGACCATCATAATTTCTGTTTCATGCCAACTTTCATTTTTTTAATTTGATTTTAGGGTTATATAACCTAGAAAAACTCTTGACGTCTTTTGTGAGATCCGCCATCAAGTAAAACCATGATAGCATCATATTACATGTCCAAAAACCATAGTAGTACCAGCCCAGTACTTTTTACTCCTTTATTTAAAATTTGATGTTGTCGTAATTCCTCTTCTGACTACTGAAATTAATTTCACATTTACACACCTTGAAATATATGTAGAAATGCATTTGCATGACAATGTTTAGTTGATGAATTAAGACCCGTTTCTTCCACAGATGCTTCATCACCTGGACAGACAAGAAATGGCCACCCGTTCCAAAGGATGGGTGAGAACCAAACATTATTTAAATAAGATTTACCATGCCAAGTTCCGTTAGCGAGCTCTCTGTTAACTGGCAGACAAACAAAACAGGTTTACGAAGGCTGAGGGTGAGATCCGACGTGTGAAATACTGTAAGAGAAAACGTCTTGATCATATGATCGTGAATTTATTAAATATAACCATCTCAAATTCACCGTAATGCACAGTAAAGAGCATCAAAACTGCAGACGGCAAATAAACTGACTTCACAGCGCATCACCCCAACAGCTGCAACCTCAGTTTATTCCTCATGTAGTCATGTCATGATTATACTCTTCCATGCAATGAAAGAATTTATTGGGATGGCTATGGTTATATTGCTCCGTGTGCATGGTTTTGTGCAGGTTTTTCTTTTATGAGGCCATGGGTGCATTGTGTGGCTTTAACAGATGGTGCATATATTTTTTGAGGGGGGATGCATCTGAAGTCACGCCATAAATAGAGTTAAATATTTCTACGCTCGAGATGAAAACGAGCATGATTCATTGAAAAGGAAGTGAGCACCTCTCAGCCTCCATATATAAATGCACGGTGCTATATTTCATCTACCAGCTGCAAAAGATCACGTCAGACCCAGTTAGGCAGGGAAATGAGATTATAATAATCATCTTAAAGCTAAGAAAGGCCTACTTAAGGAGCTCTATTGTGACATGTTGATGTCTCAGAGCTGCGAGACGCCGAAACAGAGGACAGCGGAGAAGAGAGCCGGAGGAAACGAGACACGCTCGCCGTCCCGACGGATAGAAGTCACTACGAGACGAACGTTCAGCCGAGCATCTCAGGTCAGAGCGTGTGATGCATCTGAGCGCTGCTTTGGATCTGTGTGTGATGTGCATGTGTGTGTGTGTGTGTGGGTGGGTGGCTCAGATGAGATTCTCTTTGAGAGTACTTCAAAAATCTCAAAAAATCATTGTGATTGTTGCCCGAGGTATAGACGGATCCCGGCAGTCTCGTCTGTCTGCAGCAGAAATTCTCTGTGTTCACTTCGGGCCTTAAAAACAATCAGTATTGTTTTCATATTTGGGCTGATGTGTTTACAGCATTGGGGAAGCAGGCTGTGCCAGGTCTTATTCCTAAGTGACCGTGCGGTGTCAGGGTTCAGGGAGCACAATGCACTTCTAACGTGCAGACTTGGAGACTCTTTAACTATTTATAACCAGCGAGACATAATACAGAGGGCTCTGAGATAATGAAGGAAAACACATCTTCTGGGAGGCCTGGCTCAGTGGTCTGTCCTTCAAACTCATGTATCCATGTAACAGCACAAGGATTTTAACAATTTATCACTTTTTCCCCTCTTTTCCTCCTATGAATAGATGCTGATGCTTCAGGATTTGGCCTTCTGCATACATCAAGAAGAGTAAGCCTTTCTTACTAAGGCTCTTTCATCACTTACATCCGTTGTTTAATTGATGCATTTATGGCTGGGCTTCCTCATTTTTATGGTCTAAAGTTATGAGATGGAATTCATAAACATTATAAATGTACACTTCTAATTCCGATTTTTTACTGTTTTTGAAAGAAGTCTTATATGCTCATCAAGGATGCATGCAATAATACAATAAAAAACAGTAATAATGTAGAATAATATTACAATAACTTTGAAAAAAAAAAGATTAAAATAACTTTTCTATTTAAATATATTTTAAAATTTCAGCTATTTATGATGGTAAAGCTGATTTTTTTAGCATCATTAGTCCAGTCTTCAGTGTCACATGATCCTTCAGAAATCATTCTAATTTGCACAATATTAAAGTTTTTACTGTATTTTTTATTAAGTAAACACAGCAGAAGAGACTTCTTTTAAAAAACATTAAAAATCCTACTTATTCCAAACTTCCGATTGGTTGTGTTAAAAAGTGTAGTGTAGTATAAAACATTTTTTTACAATAAAAATAACTTTTTCATTAAAAATATTATTTTACTAAAAATGAACAATTCCAGTTATTTTAAATGATCTTAGTATTTTAAAACAATTATATTCATTCATATAATATTATAATGTTGTATTGCACGTGTTTATAGCTTTGCATATTCAATATGCAAGCCACAAACAATACCATTAATAATGGGTCATTTATTTCAGTTAATTGGTTTGTTTGGGCAAGTTTTGTTTCAAAAAAATGTATTCACTGATTCAGAATCACTCAGTGGTCCAGTAAAATAAATATCTAGTAATGTTACAAACATACAAATACACTATATGTTTCTGTGAGCAATGCCAAGGGGTTCGCTTTGAATAAAAGTGTGTGTAAATGTAATGCAAATGCTTTGAGAATTGGTTTAAATGCTTGATTAAAAAGAACCAGATTCAAATAATCATTGATAAACAGGCTTCGTTGCCAAGCGACCCCTTTAGAGCTCTTCTTTCTTGCTGCAGTATGTGAAGCTGGTGGATTTCCAGGAGGAGGTGAGAGCTCACCGGGATCTGGATGGGTTTTTGGCCCAGGCCAGCATCCTGCTGGACGAGAGGGCGGCCTCCCTGGATGAAGTGCTGCGCAGAATGCTGGAGCATGTGGCCACGGACGGCCAGGGGAGCTGCAATGCGGAGGAGGTCATGAGTGCTCTGTTCACAGACGCCGGAGGACAGGAGGCCAACGGTGAGCAGCGGGCCACCTGCCCCAAGGGCCACAGGTCATCTATATTCTAGAAGTCCAGAAATCCAGGGCAAACCCTCAGAGGATGAGCTTAATGGAAGACCTTTCTTTAAAAAAAAACAGGGAATGTGTTTTACTGTGTTCTCTCTCTCTCTCTCTCTCTCTCTGTTGAAGTTCACTTGTTGACCGAGACCATTCAGGGAGTGACAGCGACAGCCACTGGAGTTCGCTACCAGCAGTCCTGGCTCTGTGTGCTGTATGTAGACCTTAAACATAAAAACATACATATATATCTAAGTCTATTTTTGAACCATAGCCATATGTAGTCCACCTGTATGTTTTTTTCCAGTAGAGCATACTGTAAATATCTAATATCTCTTTCTGACCAGGGACCCTGTTACATTTTAAGCCTATAATATACATGCATATAGTGCAATGTTAAAGCATTTACATACTTGTATGTATCTTTATGGTGCTACCATTAAAATAATAATTGCACTTTGTGCATATACAGTAAATGTACATTTTTATTTGCAAATTTACAAAAGTTTGCAATAATTACGTTTTTTAAATGCTTTTTAATAAGCATTCTCTTCTGCTCACCAAGGCTGGTTTATTAGATATAAAGAATACAGTAAAAATTGTAATATTGTGAATTATTGATACAATTTAAAATAACTGATTCTGTTTGAATATATTTTAAAATGTAATTTATTCCCGTTATGGAAAATGTGAATTTTCAGCATTATTACTCCAGTCAAGAAACATTTCTTATTTTTAGCAATGTTGAAAACAGCTTCTTAATATATTTATGATGCGTTACCATTCACAAGTTTATGGTAAGTGCAAAAAAAGAAAAAAGAAAAACAAATGAAAAAGCTATTCATATTTTTATTCAGCAAGGATGCCATTAAATCAATCAAAAGTGACAGAAAAGACATTTATAATGTAAAACAAATGTCTATTTCTATTCATCAAAGCATCCAAAGCAAAAATATTAAGCAGCAAAAACTGTTTTCAACATTGATGATAATCAGAAATGTGTCTTGAGCAGCAAATCAGCATATTAGAATGATTTCTGAAGATCATGTGACACTGAAGACTGCAGTAATGATGCTGAAAATACAGCTGCGCATCACAGGAATAAATTACATTTTACAATATATTCACATAGAAAACAGCTTTTTTAAATTGTATAATATTTCACATTGTTTCTGTGTTTATATTTCTGTATATTTGATCAATAAATGCATCCTTGGTGAGAATTTGAAAAAAAAAATCTTTTTACAAACTTTCTGCTGCCAGTTTATATTATGCACCCTATTTATGTTAGGAAATAGCAACTGAGATGTACACAATTATTTATTTTACACAATTTTACTTACTTACTTACTTACTTACTAGAAGCAATCAAGCAGGCACATTTATTGGCTGATGCAGATATTAACTAAATATCAAATCTGATCAGCCCAGCCTATCTATCTGTCTATTTAATCATTTATTTACATTTAATCATATATATGTCTGATGAAACGTGTGTGCCCTTCTGTATTCAGCTGTAACGTGAAGAGTCTTCAGAGACGCTGCGTCTGTGTTTCGCGTCTGGAGCGGCCGCAGAACTGGGGTGTGAACTGCTGCGAGGTTCGCTATGTTATCCTCATCCTGGCACCGCCTCGCACAGTAAGCCGCTCCTTTCACCTATCATCACCTAGAGTGACAAAAACACACATTTGTATTATCACTGCTGTGTGCTAATTTGCAATTGTTTCAAACCGTGTCAATTTTTACACTTGAAGTCTTCAGGGTTTTTTTTTTTTTAATCTGTAGTGTTACTTATAGCATCTCAGATCTATTTAAGCCTCTATTGTAATTTTCCTTTTCCGTACCCTGCAGAAAAGCACAAAGACCGCCATAGAGCTCGGACGCACGTTTGCCACCTTGTTCTCAGACATCTCGTTTAGACAGAAACTCCTGGAAACGAAGACCCAGGAGGACTTCAAGCAGGAGCTGGTGATTCAAAGGCAACGGCTCTCCACTGCCATCCAGAAGCCCTCGCTGGAGAAAGAGACCGACCCACACAGCAACAAACCACTCAAGGTCTGGAGCCAAGAGAGCCTCGGGGCATGCAAATGACTTGGCAAACCAATTATCTGCTCAGTCTGCCAGTTAACTTAATGTTGGGTTTTCTCTGTGGGCCGTGAAGTGCACTCTTCACATATACACACACCACCCTAACATTATGCTGCACTAGTGGTGCAACCCATCACAAAACTCATCATTTTACCATTTTTGAGTCTCAGATTGGATAATTTATCGAATAAAAAAAATGTGCTTTTCATTTATTACTTAAGGAACACTTTAAGTACTTTGATACCACAGCAAAAACTACTGGCCTAAATATTAAAGTTCATAAACATCATTAAAGACAACTGAAAAGTCAGTAATAAAATAATAGCAAATACACAAATTACTAGCATAGATGAATACAGTATAACAACATTACAAATAAAGTCAGTAACAGTAGTATTCAGGTACAGAAATCTAATAAGTGTAAAATAAGACTATAGTGTATAAATTAAATACAGATTACTCTTTGTTAAAGCTGTATTTTGTTGTTTGATTAGCATTAATGACGCAGACAGCAGCAGGTATTTATAGGCTGCTGTCTCTTTAAGACCAAATGCACGAACCGAATATACTGACACACATCCGGTTACTATCTCAAAATGTTACATTCACTTAATAAATCACCGAATGTGTTTCTCTTTCGACATATACAGTGCTTCATGGGGGTAGGTTTGATTTTGACATTGGTGGGGACATAATGGCAGATTTTTTTTCTCTTCCCCGTTAGAAATGTTGACCATCATAATTGTACCCAACAGTTAAAATCATAAAACTTCTTGAAATTATCTGAATACTGCAGTAATGATGCTGAAAATGCAGCTTCGATAAGTTTACAATATATTGAAATAGAAAACAGTTATTTTAAATTATAATAATATGTCACACAATTTCTGTTTTTTATTGTATATTTGATCAAATAAATGCAGCCTTGATTAGCATAAGACGTTTTTCAAAAATAAATAAGCATCTCCTTTTACTAACCATTGGTTGGTTTCTTGAAAAATGCCTCAATTTTCACGTTTCACAGCTTACCCTCTTTGTAGTAAGTGTTCGTTGTATTCTGTCACTAGGATTATTCACACATTCCCTATAATGTAATTATTTCAGAGATTCAAGAACAGATTTTCCATTATATTTCTTTTCCTACTGCATAATAAGAGATAGAACATTTCAAGCGCATTCTGGATCTGGCATCTGGATCACAAATAAATAACAATTTTCCATCTTGTGATATTTTACAACAACACATTTTTTTGTTAAGGTTTGCATGTTTATGCACTTAGGATTTGATGAGCTCTGTGTTTATGTATTTGAAAAACATTATCAGCATATTTTTTCTTTTTTCCTTTTGTGCCCAGGTAAAAGATTTCCTCCGAGCAGGTCGTGGCATTTATGAAGACCTGTGCCGCAGGCTTCCGTTGTACCTGTCGGACTTCACAGATGGCGAGTCTCTGGTTGACTTCACTTGTACTAGAAATAACAGAAATCTCTCTGTTGCTTGGGCTGAGGTGTTTGCTGCTGTGTGGCTTCTCTCTCCAGGGATTCTGGACGCTAACAGATCTTTGCTGAAGTACACCACCACAGCCATCTTCCTCTACATCGCCATCCTGCTGCCGGCCATTGCGTTCGGCTCTCTGAATGACGAGAGCACGCGAGGAGAGATAGGTCTGTGCTCAAATTATAAAGTTAATCATTTATAGTCGTTAGCTGGTTATAGCTGGCCTAGCTGGATGATCAGCTGGACTACATTGGTAGAGCATCTTGGTCTTGGTCTTGGACCTTGGACCAGAAACACACCAACTACACTCTTGAAAATAAAGGTTCCAAAAGATTTTTTTTAATGCCATAGAACTATTTTGGGTTCCTCTTTGGGTTCCTTTTTAGTGAACAGTTCTAAAAAGAACCATTTTCTTTTTAATTTTTCCATTTTTCTTGGTACAATTTTAAAAATAAAGATGGCAAAAGGTGGTTTTCACAGTGATGAAATAGAAGAAACATTTTTGGTTCTCTAAAGAACATTTCAGAGAACAGTTCCTAGAAGAATAATTTTTTTGCCTAGTGTGAACAATATTTAAAAAATCTGAAGGGCCTTTTTACACTATAAAAAATTCATTTTTGGGTTACACTTGGTAGCTTTGTGGTCAAAAGTGACCGAAGCCTTGAAATGTAACTCAGGAAAATCAATGTAAATGTAATGTATATTTTTGTTCAATAATATATTTGGTTATTTAAAATTCTGAGGGGATTTTAAGATACCTTTTTAAGATTTTTTTCTGCTGTCATTTTTGTCTGCTACAGTAACGAGTGTTATTTTTTAAAATTTTCGACCCTTTAACATATCCAAATCATGTCCATGATTTTTTTGTGTGCTCACATAGCCAAGTGTCGCCAAGTGTCATCTCAATCCGATGATTTTCTGTCAAAAATGACTGAAGATGTCCAGACGGTTAAACATTTGAACAATCCAAAGAACCTTTTCCACTATAAAGAAATTTTGTGGAATGTAAAATTTTACACTTTTAAAAATAAAGGTTCTTCATTGGCATCAATGGTTCAATCAATAACCTTTCACATCCATTTAAACTTTCCATTGCACAAAAGGTTCTTTATAGTGGAAAAAGCTTCTTCAGATTTCTAACTCTTTCCCTGTCAGCATTATTTATTTATTTATTTTTTAAGTTGCCAGCCACCGCCAACATTTTTGATCATTTGCAGAAGTTTCATGGCCCCCAGAATGTTTTGCTGTATAAATATCTGAACATGCAGTGTGTCAAAGCAAAGAACTAGAGCCTCTGCGTACAAAACAAACCATTTTATTCTAGTTTCATGTTTTCTTTATTTTATTTTTAAATCAATATTTGATTGTGGGTAAGTTTCATAAAAAAAAAAAGAAGTTGAACAAAAAAGCTGAGAAAATCGTGTTTTTGTCAAAGACTACGTCTAGATGGGATTTAGGTCGATGATCAAAACATAGATGGAGTGGATCACTTCATCAACACCTCCTAAGCTTCTCAGTCCTAAACCACTTCCTGTGACTGTCGACATTTCATTTGGTAACGTTAGGCAGTTTTGATTTATATGCTGTTAATGTTTGATTATCACATTATTTTACATATCCATCTGCTTGTTTCTGCTTCTTCTTTGCCTGTGTTCTGAGAAAAATATGGTTCCTCTGGGAACTGATCTCTGAAAGGTTCTTTGAGGAACCAAAAATGGCTCTTCTATGACATTGCTTTGAAAACACCCTTTCGGAACCTTTATTTAAAGGAATGGTTCACCCAAAAATTCTGTCATGAATTACTCACCCTCATGTCTTTCCAAACTCGTAAGACCTTCGTTCATCTTCGGAATGCAAATTAAGATATTTTTGATGAAATCTGAGAGCTCTTAATCCATGTGACATCATTGGTTCAACTGTAATTTTACGAAGCTACGAGAATACTTTTTGTGCGCAAAAGACAACGTATGTACGGAGATACGTTGTTTATGTTCAGATCAAAGTGCAAACAATGTAAACAACGTAGGTTGTTTATAGGAATTTCAGTCTGTTCTCTGTCGTCGAGGTGGGGGAAGCCAATCCAAAGAGCTCGTGATTGCTATCACTGGTTTCCATGTGACGGTCACGCTGTGCATCTCTTTTGACCATTAATCTTGATTACTTGATTACAAAATTGACAATCTCCTTGGAATTGTCAATAAGTGTTCTTTTGTTTAAATGCTGTGAGCTACTCAAAGCTGCTAGTTGGTTCAGGCTTGTGGCGCCAGGATCTGATTTATGAACATCCTGTGTCTTGGGCCTCTGTGGAATTCGGCTCCTCGTGTTTCAACTGTGTTTTTGACTAAATCTTAGATTGTCTGATTCGGTCTGATACCCTACAATGTGATACTCTCCAAAATTGTGCAATGACGCGGAGGAGACGAATTGTTGAATAAAGTTGTTATTTTTGTTTACTTTTGCACACAAAAAGTATTCTCGTAGCTTCGTAAAATTACAGTTGAACAACTGATGTCACATGGACTATTTTAAAGATCTCCTTGCTACGTTTCTGAGCCTTGATCGTGTTAGGATCCTTGCTGTCTATGCAGGGTCAGAGAGTTCTCGGATTTCATAAAAAATATCTTAATTTGCGTTCCGAAGATGAACGAAGGTCTTACGAGTTTGGAACGACATGAGGGTGAGTAATTAATGACAGAATTTTAATTTTGGGTGAACTATCCCTTTAAAGGTTCTTCATGGAACCATCGATGCCAGTAAAGAACCTTTATTTTTAAGAGTGTTTCCTGTTTATTTGACTACTTCATTTGACTTTTTCTTTGCAGATGTACAGAAGACTATAATTGGTCAGTGCATTGGAGGAGTGATTTACTCTCTTTTTGCTGGCTCTCCACTGGTCATTCCTCTCACCACTGCACCTCTAGCCATCTTCATCAGCGGTGCTGTATCTTTCTTATAAAGAAAGTTGAGCTGACCGTCTCTCTCAGAGGCCTTTACAGTTGTTTTCTCTCTTTTGTTTGTATACTGCAGTAATCAGAGGCATCTGCGATGACTACGACCTCGATTTTCCAGCTTTTTACGCCTGCATCGGCCTCTGGAACAGTCTGTTCCTCATACTGGGAGGCATCTTCAATGTCAGCCTGTTTATGAAGCTCTTCAAACGGTCAGTGGAGTAGTACCATGTGTTTATCTGCCAGGAATGTGATTTTTCTTATTTATATGGACTTTTATATCTTCCGACCTGAGACGTACAGTATGACCAACATGAATTAGATAAATAGAAAAAAAAAATTGTATGGTGGTAAGAGATGAGGGACTGTTTGAAGACTGAAATCACAAAATGACCTTGAACAATTACTAAACAAACTGCAAATGAAATATGATATGGCTTTTTGCGTTTATTGAATCACAAAGGCTTCAATTTAATTATTTAAGTATATAGTCTGCCGCGCTGCATGCATCACAGTGAGAAACGCAGAACTCTGAGGTTTTTTTACACATGATCCTCTGTTTTTTAGCGTCTCAAAGCAGCTTGGATTACATTAAATGCTTCTCCACACAAAGTTTGGATTGCATTTAAAAACACAAGATATGACATGATATCTTTCCAAATTGTGATGGGAATCAATTATTAATTTGTTGTCAAAAAAGCTCTACAATCTCTTTGTGTTCTGCTTCAACTTAACAGTTGAAGCAAAGAAATCAAGATTAATTATTGAAGTTATTGTAATTTTACTGCAGTGTAAAATAAAATGAGTATTGCCATTATTAGTATTATTATTTTCATTAAATACTGATTTTTATTTTACAGTATAATACCATTATTGAAATTTTATAATTTAATAAAAGAAAATAATATTTTGAATTATGATTATTATTATTATTTATCATCATTGTTTTTACTATCTAAATGGGTTCCGTAAAAACAACAGAATGTGTCCTGAAACAGCTGAAGTGCTATAAATATATATATATGACAAACTATATATTCTCCTTTTTTGTCCTTAATTGATCACATGCCTCTGATGTACATATCAATGTTATATTGTTCATATCACAAACCCCAAAACTTGTTCTGCACCATTTGCACTATAGACATGATAAAAACACAAGAAATGTGAATTGTTGAAGTATGTTATTACTTTTCTAAACAATCAGATTTACGATATCTTGAGATCAGAATATTATAAAGACTTGGGGATGATTTTTCAATGTTTTCGGTCAGTATGCAACCATCTAGTAACCAGGTAGCAACCACCTAGAACACCCTAGTAATTGCAAAGCAAAGCTAAAGCCCGCTTAAAGCACCGAAACAACTTGCTGACAACCACCCACAACACCCTAGAATTGTGGTGGAGTTTTACACAAACATGCACCTCACTCTTTTGCTTGAGAAAATGTAACAATCTAGTTGTCTTTTACTGATGTATGAAATCTCCTCAGGCAGACACCACATTCTGATATAACTCAGATTCCTCTGCTATGGCCTCTCTCTGTAGCATAAACATCCATCATAAAAATGTGCTGTCCTGTCGTGTGTGTGGTAATCTCTGTTTGTGGCGTGCCTTGATTTTGTTGTTATGTCTTGGTTTGTGCTCTGTTGCTTTGATAAAAGTAAAGATGAGTTGTTCACTGTGTGCTATGTGTCCTCTCAGCTCCACAGAAGAAGTGATAGCTTTGTTCATCTCCATTGCCTTTGTGGGCGACGCTTTGAAAGGCACCATAAAGAGTAAGTTCAGAGCTCTGACATGTAAAAGGACCACAGGCGTTGCTGAAACTAATATCCAAACTAGAGCAGGCTTGTAATATCTCAGAAATAAATCATTAATGATGATTTAACAACAGGGAGGTTTGAGTGAGAAAGAAATGGGGAGAGAATGTAAATGTCTTGATGCATTTTGATGTAAGAATATTGTTGATGATATTTCGGTGTGGTTTAAAGGGATAGTTCACCCAAAAATGGAAATTATGTCATCATTTACTCTCCCTCATGTTGTTCAAATCAACGTACTTTGTTCTCTGGAACACAAAAGAAGATATTTTATAGAATGTTGGTAGCCAAACCGTTTTGGACAAAGAAAAATAACATGGGCACATTTCTCAAAATATAGAATGGCATGAGGATGAGTAAATTATGACACAATTAAAATTTTTTTTGGTGAGCTATCCCTTTAAAACAATACTGTACCCAATTATTTTTTTATTTGTCATGTGCTTCCCATCATGGCATTCCAAACCTGTAATTTTATCCCATTCCATGGAACATAAAAAGAGTCGTTTAAAGGGGTCATATGATGCTTTTTTAAAGATCATTATTTGGTGTAACAGAATATGTTGACATGCTTTAATGTTCAAAAAACACATTATTTTTCAAATACTGTACATTATTGTAGGTCCTCTATGCCCCGCCTCTCTCAAACACTTCGTTTTCTACAAAGTCCCTCCTTCCGACAAGCGCAGTCTGCTCTGATTGGCCAGCTGACCCAATGCATTGTGATTGGCCGAACACCGCAAGCACTCGTCGGAAATGTAATGCCCCTTACAATAATCGCGAGCTTCATCTTTCAAAATAAATGTAAAGACAGTAAATAATGTCATTAGTTTTACCATCAGTTCAAGCCCTAAAGGGGAACAGAGTCGCGTGACAGACACAGTGATGATGCTGGTATGTGTTTGCAGTACACAAGCCACGGTTAAGAAAGCTCACTCCACTGTGCTGTGACGCTGTCTCTCTCTCTCTCTCTCCTTCAGGGATCTTATCTATGCACAATCAGCTTGTAACACTCCAAAGAGAAAGGAAAACTTGAAATCGCATCATATGACCCCTTTAAAGCAAAATGTTCAAGCAGCTCTTTTCCAGCTCTATTCAGTGAAAGTAAATCGAAACTGGGGCTGCTAAATTCCAAAAATAATAAAAAGATACATAGAGTAACATAAAAGTTACCCGTATTACTTGTTTTCAGCAAATAATAGGGTAGGGGGGTCACACATGTGCGAAATTGGCAAAAAAATTATATATATACACAGTATATATATATATATTTATTGTGATTTTTCGATAGGGATAATTAAACAATATTCTGCTGAGTGTGTTTTTGTGTTGGTACCATGGCTGGTTTAGGCCAGTGATGAATAAATAAATATGACACTAAAACCGTCCCTGTCTTAATTAATTATTAATTGATTCATTCATTCAGATTATTAGTTCAAAACGGCTGATTCATTTAGAAATGAAGCAACTGGCTGACTTTATGAATGGATCATTGAATCATTGACTTGATTAATGATTAATTAAAAAACAGATTCATTCGGAAACGAAACACCGCAGTGTTGCTCTTAGATGCACAAATGTTCTGCTCCGGCTTTGATTGGAGCTATTTTCATTGTCAAAACAGAAAAAAACAGACAATATTGTGTCCAAAATGTAACTCACTCAATATTAGCTTCTTGTTTGTTGAACTGTTGTATAAAATTAATATCACATTTGCAATCACACTCACACAGTAATGTTGTTTGTGTGATATTACTTAACTATGTAAATATACATACAAATATACAAAACAAAAAACCCATACAGGGATATTTTTGCTTTCATATCTTGACTTATAGGGGCATATTAACTGCATTCTGATATGCTTTATCACACAGTGAATGCTTTTAGACTCTCAAGACGTGTTTTTGTTTGTTTTTTGCAAACAAAAGTGACATACTCCATAATGTCAGCTCACATATCACTAAAACAACTATTATGATTATGATATTATCGCAGATGATAATTATTGCACACCCCTATAATAGGGTAACTTACATTTTGGTATTATTATTGCTTCAGAAGAGCCCCTGTTTCCATTCACTTTCATTGAATGGAAAAGAGCAGCATGAACATTCTGCCTAAGATCTCTTTTTATGTTTCAGAAAAATCTAATGCATTTGGAAAACCCACATTTGGAAATTATGACCAATTTGTTGTTTCTGGGTGCACTAGTCTTTTTAGAAAAAAAAAAATGTATTTATGATTCACTTAATTGCTGTCCACTATATCTCTCTTTTCTCTCAGTATTTCATAAATATTATCATGGCCTTACACTAGTCAACGGAAGCACAGAGGAACTGCATGGTCTGGGTGTGATACTTCATCAGGGAGTGAACGGAACAGAGAACGGAGGCATCTCACTGCCTGCAACAATGGTTCTGTGCACCAGGGAGCGCCCTATTCTCTGCCTGCTGCTGATGCTGGGAACACTGTGGCTGGGCTATGCCCTCTTCCTCATCAAGAGAAGGTCATTATAGGCTGGTTTACTGTAATCAGCATTAGTTGCTAATGCTTGGTCATCTGATCTAACATACTTCATTTAAACTAAATTGGTTTCAAGTAATACAGAATGACTTAGCTTCACAGAGAGGAAATAAAACAGTTAATCATGGTCATGTTACTGCGAAAGCCTGCTTCCACCACTGAATAAAAAAAAAAAAGGTAATAGTGACTTTTATCTCACAATTCTGTATTTTTAATAGTGCTGTCAAATGATTAATCGCGATTAATCACATCCAAAATAAAAGTTTTTGTTTACATAATATATGAGTTTGTACTGTGTATATTTATTATGTATATATAAATACAAACACATGCATGTATATATTTAAGAAAAATATGTTATGTTGATATATTAAATATATTTATATATGATATAAATTATATGAATATAAATATATACATTTAAATACATGTAAATATTTTCAAAATATATGCTGTATGTGTGT